TTTTTAATATTTAGTATATACTTATGTATAAATTCAATTAATTTTTTGGTTACTATTATGCTTATCCTTTTTAATACATGTGTTTTTTTTATTTGCACAAACGATAACCTTAGTAAGTTAAATTATTAAATGTTAAGGGGGAAGGGAATCACTAGGGATCGAATTCTCATCAGGATGCATAGGGATTATACTTTCCTCTACTGCGTTTACAATTTTCACTCTAATTTTTCAAAAAATACTTGGATTTGAAACTTCCTACTTTCGGATCGGAAACAGCAATACTAACTTAGCAAACAACTTTTTCGTAAAAATGTTGGCTTTTGGATTTCCTTTGCTTCCTTTTGATAAAACATGTCGACCACTATTCGTTAATGGGAACTTAAGCGAGTCCTTTAAAGAAAACTAAATCGTTAAATTTAGAGATAAACGTCATAGATGACGCATTTTAGAAATTTCGCTTGTAAGACCGTGCTAAGTGGACTGAGTTAACGTTTGACAAGAAAAATGAAAAGACAAGGTTGAGCTAGCCTATTGGTCTCTGTCTAGGAGTAAAATCACAGTGCACAAACGGTAGAAATCCCATGTCATGTGGATTGTGGAGCATTGCCTTCAACTATTACCTTCGCTTGGGTTGTCAAACTCACATCACGGATTGAAATCTAACATCTTCAGCCATTCTGCCTCCGCTAATTAACAACTCGGAAAACCTTAGCAAAGAAAAGGACCTCTACCCGTGGATCAAATAAAAAACAAAATGGCCCCTACTGGGCGTGGTCTAGGGTCACTTGAGTCAACCGCGGGCACCCAACTGCCTCTTTTTTTCCATGTTCGTACTACAAAAACTTGACATTCTTTCTGAATTCAAGTTTTCGGCCCCAATCATACCAGACTGATACCTACTCTGTTTAGTACTTCTTTGCGCACAGCGTAAAACGCGTAGCAATTCAATACCAAGCAGCATTTCAAACTTGTATTTTTCTAATCGACCCTACAGATTCTGCAATAAACACCGATTTTTTCCTTTTTCTTTTTTGTATCACGTTCTGAATGACTTTCTAATCAGATTGTAGTTGGAATATAACATATACAAACTATGTAGTTTATTGGTGCGGCCATTCTCAAATTGATCCTTCAGAAGCCAGAACATCACTATAGTTTACAGTTAAGAGTGAACGTAAAAATGGTTTCGAGATTTTTATTGACGCTCAACAACACTTGACACATTTGCAACGTAAGGATCTTTCTGTTCTACTGCAGTTTTGTTAGCCAAGTAGAAGAACAAACGAATGAACACGAAATATAAGGTAGTGCGGAAAGGTTAAGATGTCTCTACTCCGTTGCTAACAATGTGCAGTATCGATCAATTAATTACTGGTTTCTACTTTCTACATAATGATCTAATAAACATGTAACAACTTACTTTTGATGAAGACATTACCGTCATTTGTCATTCGTGTTCAAGTACAGATGATGATCTCTAATGTAATCAATTACTTCATCTGCAGTCAGATATTTTATTGACAATCCTCTTGAGATGCAATCCCTGAAGAGCAAGTAAATTGTTAGTTCTACAATCCCATTAATATTTCTGTCAAGGAATCAGATTGCCTTACCTTACTCTCGTCGAACTTATTTGGTTTGGTACAAGTTCATCCACCACTTTTATGTTACCCTGTAATAAAAGAAAAGGTTTAACAACAAACATCAAAGAGACCAGAAGCAATGGACTATGGGAAGCTTCAAATCAAAACTGTTCAGGCAACAAATGTTTTGCTTTTCAATTTATACCAGTTCCTACCCTTGCAAAGTACGATTCGAATAATCTGGATAACTTGTATACCAGGAATCAGACTTAAAAATTGCACAACAATAACATCATTTTGGGCGGTAGTTAAACTAATATAGGTGTAGCTAAAAACCCAGTGACATGCCACTGAATGAGAGTTTGATTATTATTACAAATTTACAATTCACCATGAGCACGAAAACAATGGTAAATCAACATACCTTGTTCTCTGTCAAAATTTTGTCATTTGATATAATCTTGTCAACATCTTGTCCATCCCTGTGAATGCAAACCACACCGTAATCTCTGCATATGCTCCTCACCTGATAAATAAGGGCAAGAATATGGTGGTTACCATCTGCTTGAACCAGAAACAACTAATTGAAAAGTTTTAAACCCTACCCCAATTGAAGAATTCTGTTACTTTATATTACACAACAAAGATCCACTAAACGATTGGTTAATTTCTAGTCAAGCAATATAAAATCCATTCGTGCATAATTGTTGGAAATTAAGATAGAATCTTCTCCTAAGTCCTAAGAACTATTCACCACCTTTTGATCTGAATAGAACTTTCACATGTAAGCTACTGAACTAAAACAAGTATAACTCTCCAGATGAAGTCATTTTAATCTGCAGCATGGTAATAATACTAAGAAATGAGATGATTATCTTATACGAATTAATCATACATGGCCACAGTAATATAGAATATAGACGTACCTGCTCAGGAATCCAAAATCCAGGAATGCCAAAAGAGTGGAGTAGATCAGAACCACAGACAAGCATGCACTTAAGGGAATCTATCAAGAGCAAGACACAGAAATCAATCATATTGCCTCCAAATTATGATGAAGTAGAACTGCAAACCAGGTTCAGAATGGTCATGCATCAAATTGACTACACAAAAAAGTCTGTAAAACGAAATTTGTGATTAGTGTCAGCACTGCAGCTTATCATGAAATAAGAGCTCTTTTTAGTAAAAAGTAAGAGCCTTTTTTAAATTTTATTTTCTAGCAAACAGATCCATGGAATAAGAGCCTTAAGATACCATATGTTGAAATGACAAAGAGTGTCTGGAGCATATAACTCCTTAATCTAGAAAACAGGGTTTCAAGCACCACTATGACAAGCGTCGTTTCTGACACACTTCCTCGAACGTTACAGCCATAAGTTCTGGGTGTGTAAATGTGCTTTACATCTACAACTGTCTATTTGCACTTTTGCATACATATAATTTTACAAAAGAACAGCCTGTGTGAGGATAAATAATAATTAGCTATATCGTTCAAAGGAAAACAAGGGATAACAGTTTTGAAGATCTTACCACTTGGTATCAGCCCAGCCTCAGATATGAAACCCTTGACTCTAGATAGAACAGTTAAGGTGCGCTGGAAGCTACTTTGTCTTGCCTGTAAAATTGGTTTATAACTTCTATATATAAGTACACAGAACCCTTGTGGTAGTAAATACATAAGACATAGAACTGCACTACAGAAGCATCATCTAAGATTCTAAAGAATTTGTATAGTAGAGAGAGAGGCGGAAATACCTCCCATTGATCAACCATTATAAACTCTGAACCCTTACAGGCAAGATGACATAACTGTACACGGTGTTCAGCAGATATAAGGCCCTACATAGCCAGCCAAGTCACAATGTCAGTTTGTGGCAAATGAGGGATATAACATGTCTGATTGTGTGATTTAATTACAGCACTTAAGTGGGATAAAGAGGAATAAACTTCAGAATTGAGATCACAAATAATCCAAGTAATCTGTGCAATAACAAAATGGGATCACTACGTTGCTACTACAACCATGGTTAAAAGGGGTCATGCAACAAACTACCTAATGTACTCTCATTTTCGAACTTTGTTAGGCATATTGTGCACCCTTAACCATGGGCATATGAAAGCACCTTCTACTCCGACGCCTACAGAGACGCTAGTACAGGTTACATACCTTCTTGTTGTATGCATCATTGACAGGTGAAATATAAGCTCCAACAACACAAAAGCCTTCCGAATTCAGGGCATCTCTTGCCAGCTCTGTTGACAACAACAAAATTGATCAAAATATACATTAGACACTGCAATTTCCACTGAAAAATGAGCAAAAGATTCTAAAGCCGCAAGTAGAAAATGAAATCTATGAGGCCATGACCCGGTTCATAAAGAGAGCGCAATTTGCATGTATGTATATACACAATTTAGCTGTGAAATGAGAAAGAAATTTAGTTTGTGCCACAACTTACCCATCATCCGTAAATGCATATAGGTAGGAGGATTGAAACTTCCAGTTGCTACTAGGACTACGTATTTCTTGTCCCTAGTTTAGAGAGAGAAAGAGTGAGCTACCATATTTCCAAGAACCTTACACCTTATGGTACGAATTTTGTCAGCATTAACATCCATGTTTGCAATTTACAAACAAATTCAATTCTCCGGAAACTAAAAGGTAATGCATTTTCTACTGCAAGCTAAAAACTAATGTCTTTAAGATAAGGTGAGCTTACTTGTCATCGTGGTTAACCAAATGTAGAGCTAATTTACTAACAGGCAGAGGAATGTCCATCACAACTGAAAGAAGTAAAACGACTGAATTAAACGAGTATCATAAAATATGTTACGTTTTCTTACGTTTTCCTAGCAGCCAAACAGAGTATTAAAAACCATTCACAAGGATACAACAAAACAAGAAAACCCAAGTGAAAATTATAAAATTGGAAAATAAGCCACACCCAGATTAGAAGATTGGAAAATAGTTAATAAAAAATATTACCCTTTTGAGAATCGATGACTTAAAGGTCCCTTCTTTCCCGCCGCTTGGAGCCGGTCCTCTCGACGAGGATGGTCAAGGAGTCGGGGCGTTGGAACTGAAGCTCAGACGCGTATTGGGTTCGCGCTCGATGGGTTCGATAGACGCGGCAGCTGGGTGGGATGAGATGCGATTGGCAGCTTAGAAAAAGTTATGGTTTTTTTCTCGTCAAAACTCTGAAAATGTTCCACCCAGAAAAAAACAAACAAAAGACCCTTTTTATTGGGTTATTTTTTAATTATTGTTTAACTTCATCCGTTAATCGATTAGTGAGGCGCAGTGAATTTAAGGTGAAAAGTTTGACACTTTTGTCTTTGTCTAAAGACTCTGTTTCCTAAGCTGTTGAGCTCTGCTAAGATTATGGCGGATTTCACAAGGCTTCCCATGGCGTCTTGTGCTCTTGTTTTAGTCACGGATTCTGCCGGCCTTTCACGCCTTCAAAACTGCAACACCATTTGCCTGGCGCTTTCTTGTATTGCTATTCAGAACCATGAGGTCCAGGAGTCCCAGTCCCAGAGCTGTTGGGCAGCCCAATCAGGTCAGTCTGACACTCAAGTTCATTTGATCCTTAACCTTTTCGTTTCGGTATTTTTTGTGTTTTGAACGATATTACTAAGAGTAGGAGAGAGGGTTTGAATTTGGGAAGTACTGCGTAAAAGAGGAAGCCTCTGTTCGTTTTGCTATTGAAATTGTACTTAAAATTGTGCCCATTGATGTTATTTGTAGGTGGAGGAGCCATACAGCCGTGCCAGACATAACCCGTTTTTCGATGGCCTTTTGAGGCTTGATGATCAGAATCCTAGCCCACCTACTGTTGATTTTCCGGCAATCCATGGAAGTCGGAACATTTCTCGTACCACGTCGGATATTGGTAACACACTCACAAGAAAAGGGCAAGTTCCATTCTCTGATGATAGTGTTCTTAAGCCCTTTGAAGGGGCGAAAATTGGTAAAACTGCTTCATTTGCGTTCGCTAATGTTCAGTCAGCTTTTAGCTTTGATTTGAGGACATTAAATGAGCCTGCCATTGAAGCAAATGATCATAAGCATGGTAGAGTAAATGGTCTAGCAAGTGTCACAAGTGGGAAATCATTCAGGGTGAATAGAAGGAAAGAAAACCTGTCTACTGTTTCACTTCCTCAGTCTGCTGCATCGTTTTATAGTGGGGACTCACCGCAATTTGAAATTGTTGCATCGTGTCCAAGCATTTACAGGCTTAATTTGTTTCTCAAAGCCACAAAGGATGAAGTTAATGCCGGTGTCCCGGGAAAATTCTTACATGTTGTAATGGCTCAAGATATTGCTGGTAATGCCTGCCTTTAAATCTCCTTTCCTAGTTTTTTGTACTTCTCCTTTTGTAATCTCTGTATCATTTCTTTTGAAATTTACATTTGTAAATAAGAGACCACATTGTACTATAATATGAGTTTCAAACCCAATTCATGACAACGTTGACAAGACAGCTATGTGCCCTGAATATCCAAAATTCATTGGAAATCATTTGAATTGTTATCAAGTCTAATACTATATAAGTCCATATCTTTTGTTAATACAAATTAAAAAATGTCAGAAACACTGTATTGCAATGCTGATAATATGTGTTTCAGGAGGTTCGTTGTGATTTTCTATTTCTTTCAGCCAAATTTGTGAATTGATGTCAGAGTATACATTTTTGCCACTCTTGGACAATTTGCAGATGTTGGATCCATTGTTTCAACCATCACTTATGCCTTCTACCTGAATGAAACACAAAAATGTGACCAGTTGTGTACAGTGCCTGTTATCAACATGAAGAGGTCAGACATAAATTCTCAAGCTGAACTCAAATGGTTACTTGATTTTTGTCAAATTGATCAGTCGCCCTTAATCTTTGTAGATGAGGTACGTTCTATTGACTAATGTTATACTGTGGTCTCCTATTTTCTTTCACTTGGGTAGATTAGTGCTGATAAGCAATGATATTCCAAGAACTGACTTAATACAAAAATGCTACACCTGCAGATTCTTTTTATTTTGTTTTTTGGAAATTTTGTTTATTCCTTGCTGCTTATATTCCATGTGTATCACTTATACCCATCCTGTGTATATTGTGATGAAATGTGAACATCCCTATTGTTGAATCACATATGAATCATGCGGTTTTACAGATTACTTATGTGGATTCTTTTTCTCTCTAATTTTTCAACTTTACCTGTGACCAGTTGCGTCCTGAAATATAACTTTTCAATTATGGAATGCCTGTTCAACTTATGTGTTTACCTTTCACCGTGAAATTTTGAGCAGATTGATCTGTCATATTATGATCTATTTGGGAGTCTTAAAATAGTTCTATTAAATGGCCACAAGCTCCCAGCCAAGCAAGAGGTAAATCAAATTCCAAAAATTGGGATATACTTGAAATTTTATTTTACCATGGGAAATGATTCATACTCTTTTCTTCCTATATCAGGGATTGAAAGGGGCAGTAGTTGAATTTTTCAATTGCAAACAGGTGATTTGCTGAAATCAAAGCGGATGCGTTTAAGCTTATCCTACTACTTGCTGACAAGTTCAATGTAGCTAAAAGTTGCCTAATATAAGATTTTGTCTTGTTTTACAGGGAGAATCTGTATATCCCTGGGTTAAGAGTGTTACTGTAGCAGAAGTATTGATTGAAACCTATGCATTGTAACCTTAGTGGCTTCCTTTGTCCCTATTGTTCTTAACATGAATGAATATCCTGATTATCGTGTTATCTAAACAGGATAGCTCATGCTGCACAGTTGTTGCTGAGAAGTTTTCTCTGATTTTACCTGAGATTTTGGCTGGACAAGGATTCAGCAGACTTTTGGTACCTTTCTTTTTCCTTTTTCATGCTGTAAAATGTGAACAACTTATTTCAAGACCTAAAAGACCTATTTCTTGGTGCACTGTTTTCAGCTCTCTCTCTCTCTCTCTCTCTCTCTCTCTCTGTGTGTCCCGTTCATGCTCCACCATAGAGACCATGTACTTTGCAGCAACGAGTTAAAAACCTCCCACGTTTTTTCTGCGTCCATCTTTGGCTACCTCAGTCAATTGTAATTTACTGCTAGTAGAAAATTTTCCATGGATCTCATTTTTTTTTCTTTTCAGCACATTGCTGGACTTCATATTTTATTAGTTATTGGCTCTTGTATACGTATTCCACATTTTCTTTTCTAGGATTCGGCTCATAGCCTAAGATAGGTAGTCAAATCCTTAACCCTTATATTGTAGGCCAGCCAATTAAGTTGCTGGGTTGTGAGGTTGGGGGGATCGGTAGTTGATATCTTGGTTTGCCATGAAATACTCAACTTTAGACTTTAGTTTTCCCTCCATTGCCTTTTTACAATTTTTTTTTCTCTGGAATTCCTATTTCTTGCAGTTAGCTGCCATCCTTTTAGACTCCACAAACTTGTGTGGTTCTCAGTGTTCAATCAAAGATAAGTACATGGCTACACTGTTAATTCATGGTGCTGGTCGCTTTGGGTGCAACGGCCTTTACCAGTTATGTATGTATTGTGTCCATGACGTGCCTATCTTTTGTTTTCATTTACTTTATTTAAAACGACTTCCTCTATATTTAACTTTTGATTTTCAGTGAGATACAAAATGTATGATGTATCTGATCTCAAGGTTGGTGATATATTACGCAAGGATTTCAAAAAGTGGACAAGAGCAGGTCTGGACTTGAACTAACCTTAGTCCTTTTAAGCTTGTCTTGGGATTTCTTTTCGCTCTTCAATGTAATGGAATATCCTTCTGCTAACATAATAGTTGTTGAAACAGGTAAACCGGAGGGTCCTGGTGCTAGAACATCACAAATTGGGATGAGTTCCATTGGAATGCCAATTGCACAGCTTCTTCAACATGAGAACACCTCAGCGCATGAAGTTAAAAATTTCCAACGTAAGTGTATAATTTTCATCCACTAAATTATCGTGAGATAGTTGAACCATAAACATTTATCATATTGCAGGAAATAGAAGTATTGAAGCCTTTAATAGTCAGCTTGTTCATTAATTCGGATAGTATAGGTCGACCTTTAATCCAATCTCACTTCAATTATTTACTTTCCTTTATAATAACGGAAGTAACATCCTATAATTTTGAAGATATTATCTTGCCGGTAGTTTTTTGTCACCAGTAACTTACACGTCTTTTATTCTTGTTTTCCCTGTTCCAAACTACTTTGATGAAGTTCATTGTTTAAACTATAAAGACATTCATTTTGTGTTTAAACTTTAAAGTATAAAGATATTTAAATTTTTTTGTGCATTTTCATTGTTTTTATTGTTAATTTCAGAGATGGAAAAACTCCGGCTTCTCATGGTTGTTTCTGGGTATTATGATTCGAAAAGGAACTTCAAGGTTAGAGACGTGCTAATATAAGTTATATTTGACATTTTCTCTTTTTTTTTTTAATGCGTGTTCTACCCGTTAATGATCTGGCATGCCCCGGGGCTTAATTTAAAACGAACCTATTTCAAAGAGGGTTTGAATCATTTCCTTTGTGAGTCATGATTAATAAAGCCAAAGCTTCGAGTGGGTTAAGGATTGATCATTTGAGAGTCTATTGTAACTTCGATGTTCGAACAACTCAAACTTCTGTGTTTGACTTTGATGTGATTACAATTTTGTATCCTAATTTTGGACTGCCAAGTGCTCATCTAAGGGCCTTTTGGCATTTCTTTCCTCATGGGATGGGGAGTACTTTAAACAAAATGAGCCAAGTATTCGCTCAATAATAAGTAATCCACCGACTCTCTGAGTATCCATACATATTTTGCTGCAGTCACAGTCTCTGGTCTTTTTTTAAAACAAACTGAATATGTTGTCTAGAAAAAGGGTTGTGTAGCGTTTTACTATCTTATGGTAGAGGCTCTGACATTGTCCATGTATGTGGTCGAATACAGAGAGAGATCCTAGTGGCTGCTGAGTCAGTGGAGCTCATGAAAAATCTGCTGTTTTTCTTCGACTCAAGTGCTTCCCAACTGCCTCTCAAAGCGATCCATCAGTCAGGTAAGAATCACTTCAAAATAATACAGGCCACGCACTACAGTTTGTGTGGCCGGAAAAATTGGGAATTTTAGTTCGACTTGAGATCTCTGGAAGAGTAGGTTAGAAATACATACTTGGTTGTCTTCATCCTGCTGACTGGCATTCATATAAAGAGGTTTGTAGCAATAATGATCTCATCGATTCTGACTAAACTCATTAAAATTGTGAGACGTAGAAACTCCAGTTGTTTTTCTTTGGTTTCTTTATTGTTCTTGCTAAAAAATTGTGTATTTTTTCGTTTTAATTGCTACACATCATCCGGGATTGAAAAGATGGTTAATTTTAAATTCCGTTATGGTGCCATGATGGTGTTAAACTTCCTCATGGTGCTCGTGCAGGTCTTGGAGCAGAGATGCAAGCATTTGAGATTGACAAGGTCACATCGAGAAAGACCATCGAGCGCCTCTTAGAAGAATTTGGTGGGACTTCAAAAGGCTAATGCGAATTCCAGACCTCAATAAATGTTCAGAGACAGTTGTTCTCGAGTATGTTGTTACACAAGAGGTGAAGGAAAGATTTCTGTAAGATATAATTTAATCGTGGCTGTTCAAATTGAAAGGTATATTTGAGGGAATGATCAAACTAATCTGCTCTTGAAAATTTGGATCAGATATTCAATTTTACTGTAAACTTGCTTCGTTTTCCAAAATGATCTGCAGTGTGTATAAAAACTTTTCGTGGATGAGCCTGTATTGATGAGACTGGATTAGAACGAAAACCAGATGATAGGCATGTTGATTGCACTAGAACTCTCGGTTGAGATTCAACATTCAAAAGAACTTTTTGGGCGTTGCTTGATGGTGTCTCTGTCCAGCAAAAGGAAAAAAATTTGCAATTTTTCATCTGCAATCACTTCAGAAACTTTTCTTATCAGAAAAAAAAGAAGTTCCAAATATTACAGGCCTATGAAAGCTTTGTTTCCAGAGCTGTTCAGAGGATTTCCATGCTTAAGCTCCAACTCAAACTCTGTTCCTATAGGAATAGCTACTCCGGAAATCTGTACCGTAACAAACCGCTGGCTACTGTCAAGGCTGGCCTTTATATCTCCGGTCGAGTTTGCTCCCTTTGTAATGTTGAAAGTATACCCTTCAACCCCAGCCTGCGTTTTGCAACCTGATGAAGGTAACATTATCAACGATCAACTTTTGGTTTAAAGCGAATCCTTCGTTTTCGACCTTAGAGCTTAGATGTAGACTTCCATTTTGTGTAGTAAAGTCCAGTTGCCTCCGTCTCCTCCCATTTCCGCTTCCTCTCCATCATCCAAGAAAACTTGTCCGGTACTCTATTCACTACTGCTAACAACCACAAAAAGTTCGAATGCAGTTTTCCGGTCTGCTTCTGTTGTCAAGGCATCTCCTTGCAAGGCCAATATATTTCCTTTGCGAAAATGCACGTTGATATGATCTGGCTGTGCATCCAGTGTAACGTTCTGCCCTGCGCTTACATTCACCGAGTTCGTGTAGATGAAGAGATCGAACCAGTTGCCTGCAGTAAAGTATGCCCCAACAGAGTTTTCCCCTTGCTTCAACACAGGTGAAACCAGCACACCTCTACCAATCAGAAACTGTGACCTAATCTCGTATTATTGATATCTTGAGGAAATGAGAAGAAAAGGGGTCTTGCAATTGGGGTTCCATTTTTGTGTGCCTCATACATTGATGTGTAAAACAAGGGGAGCAACCGGTAGCGCAGGCCGAGCACCTTCCTGGCTGATGCAGCTACTGATTCCCAAAGGTAGAGCTCTTGCCGGCTTGAATGGATATCAGAGTGATGTCTTGAAAACGGGTAAAGGGCTCCCACCTACACATAGACATAGGTGAGTTTAGTCACTTTTGCAAGTTACATAACATGGTCTAGTTTTTTGTTTTAGTGTTCGGAATTCAATGCTTATCAGTTACCCCTGCAGAGTTCTTCATTAGTATCTCCTAAGAATCCACAGATATCAGCTCCAACCATCGGAACTCCAAAGAGTCCAAAGTTCAAACTGGCTGGAATGGAATATGCCAATTCCTCCCATTTCGCACCGTTGTCTCCGGTCCAATGTGCTGTGTACCTACCAGAGCTCACAAAAGTTGACCTAGATAGCACAAAGGGTCTCTTCCCAGTTATATTAAGTAAGGCCTTGTTTGTTGCTTTGGACTCCAAGAGGCCAAACAGGTTATGAACATCATATTCCGTAACATTACCAAAGTGTAGGGCTGATCCCGGAACAGTGTTACTAATTATCGGACGCTGGTTTCCTCCGTTGTTGATTTTGTATGGCGGATCATCAAGTGTAGAGTTTTGAGTTTGAGGGGAGGTTAAGAAGTTCGCAATCTCATTCATGACATGTCAAGCCACAGACCATCAAAAGGAAGGGTCTCTTTGACTCTTTTGATCTCATTTGTCCAATAACTTTCACTTTGTGGATGAATAAAATCAGGGAAGTAGACATCTCCAGGCTAAACCTTCCCCTGGTAATAACTGCCATCACGTTTTATACATATATCTGCTTGCTTACCCCTGGTTAGGGATTTCATAGCTCGCATTTGTACTAATAGAAAATAATCACGTAAGAAAAGGAAAATATGCAAAAATATAATCAATTACAAACTTTTAAGAAAAATAACTAGAGGACACTAAACAGACATTAAACCGTAAGGTTACATACCAGGGTCAATGATGAGGGCATATTTCTGGCTATTATTGTGAAGGGTATTCACAAAATTCTGCATCTTATCGACTGGAAAGCTGACGGGATCAAGAGTGAAGTCCTTATAAGCATCCATGTGATCAATGTCTGTCCACATAACCTCAAGAGGGAAACTTGCATTTGCATAGCCAGCAACCACGCCTTCAAGATCCGAAACATTCTTGTAACCATATCGGCTCTGGTGGAATCCTTCACCATTAACATGAATAATTTGAGCATGACATTATTAAAATGTGAATCCAAAATCAAGTTTTTCGAGTTCTCGAACAATGCTAGGAAGATCATATTTGTTGACCAAGTGCCATGTTAAGTGGCAGGTCACTAATTGATTCATTATGGAACGGATCCTTATAATAATTGATGTAACAAGATATTCAGTAATCATGAACTAATACGATTCAAAAATGTGATCCTTCTAGGTTACTATAAAATAGATTAATAGAATAAATAGCAAATTAAGTTGAATATATTTACACTCTAGAGCAACTTACCAAAAGACCAATAGGGCATAGGGGCAGGGCGACCGACCAATGAGCTCAGTATACTGCTGCACCACCAACTCAGGCGTAGGTCCGGCAAAGAAATACAGGTCCACAACACCACCGATGGCCTTATAAGTAATCCTATCGCCGTCGTATCTTTTGTCCATGCCATTGCTATTCAACAGCAACACTCCATGAGATGTTCCAGCACCGTCGGGCTTGCCGTCTGGTGAGGACGACCTGACGTCCAGGTAGAAGGGGTGGGACGCGTAGAGGTTGACAGTCAGTTTGGACGCTGGGGATGTCAGCACCCCAGAAGGTGAAGGTGGTGCCGGGAATGAGCTTGAAGGTGGATTTAGTGTGCTTGCCGAGGCCGAAAAGGGAGAACCTGTTCTGGGAAAGGGAGGAGGAGAGCTGGATGTACTGGTCCTTGAAGACGAGGAAGGTGCTGGAGTTTGATGGGTCCGGAGAGGTGCCGAAAACCACGTCGTTGGTGGACCTGGCGGGTGACAGTGAAGCCGAATGGGGTGGTGTTACGGAGGGTGAAGACAAGGTCGTTGTCGCGAGGAGGTGTAGTTGAGTTTAGGGTTTGGCAGGGGATGATGTCTTGAGGGATATCCCATCTTTGGTGGTTTGAGTCTATTATTCGAACCCTCAGACGATCTTTGGTTCTATAGCTGTTTCCCGGAAAAAAAAAAAAAAAAAAAATAAAACTCAAAAGTCAAAGGTGTGAGGTTATATATATATATATATATCTATATAACATGCAAAATATGGTAAGATAAAGAAACTCACTTAAATGTGAAAAAGAATGTAACTCATAAAGGAAACACTTGAATTGTTCTTTTTTCAAACAAATCAGAGTTTAACGTGTACACAAAATAATTCAATTTTTAAATTTACGAGTTACTTTGCTTTCGTATGATTTACAGTTAAAAGAACATTAGCTTATAATTTTGTGTTAAGTCAAACAATTAATGTTCATCTCAGAAATCAATTGATAACATCTAATAAATTAGTTAAAATCATAAGATTAATGGGGTTAATTATATAGATTAAGTACCTGGCGTAGAGAGTGAGACTTGAGATGTCAGGTCCATAAGTGGACGAGGTGTTGATGAGGCTAAGATTGAAGTCCCAGAGGTATCATTGGTGACAGATTGAACTGCGTATCCAAACCCAACTGCTTCTCCATCATTTCCCTGCTGGCCATTGGATGACGCAAATAAACTAAAAACAAAGAAAAAACACAACAAAAATGGTGTATTTGATCTGTTTTCTTTCATCTTCATTTTCTGTGTTTCAATTGCAATCGCTACTTGGTGTTCTGAGGATTACTAAGGATTATTTTTTTAATCGAACTTTTCCATAAATTATATAGCTTTTAAAACTCAGCTCCCTCATCTATGAAAAACGTGAAATGTAACATGAGTAATTATATTACCTATTGCGACAAGATTAAATCTTTGTTATTTACTTTATAACCGAAAAAAATCATGTCTAGGAAGTAATAACACGTTTTAAGCTGCTTTTCTCTGTGCTAACAGCAAACTCCATGGATTGACTCTATCCAAAAATTAAACATATTTAGTAAGAGTAGGATTCTCTTCCCTCTAAATCCCCTCCTTCCAATCCGCTTCTCTCACTTTCCTCTTTTTTTCCTTTCTATGTAAAGAAGTCAATAGCAGATGTTAACGTGACTTAATCGTGACTATTCAAACAAGAAAGGATTGAAACTCATAAATATCTCTTCGACAAAAAAATGGGACAGGGATTTGGAGGGAAGAAACTCATAAATATCTTTTTTTGAAAAAAGTACAATATTCATTAAGTTGAGAAAACGATAACGTACAATCTCAAAGGATAGTGTGCTTAGATGGGCCTCAATAAAAACCTAGTCGGGGCTTTCAACCTAGTCAAAGGGAAGACTCTCATAGATATCTCAAACCAAGAGAAAGATTTAGACAAATGTTTCTTATATGGAAATGGAGATTAGAGAAAGTAATGCATATACTGAGCATATGGAAGGAAATCATATGTATCTTGATTTATTAATCCAATAGGCCAAGCTCAAACACAAAACACCAGGCAGGCAGGCCAGTTTGAACAACAAACTTGGATTAAGCACTCAAAAGACATTCTTTAATTTTTACATAGTGGTAATTGATTTTCCTTTGCACCTTTTGTTAATCAAACCTAAGAAATTCTTGTCATTTGCTACTCGTTTATTAGGGATGGGGCGTGCCTTAACGTGAGGATAGGGCGTGCTTAATGCAAGCTGAGCATTAGGTCACAAGTCATATGTCAAACTTGTATGCCGCTTCGTTACACATAACAATCCTTACGGCTTCCTCCGGCATACCATGCACCATCGACGAAAAAATCCGGTCAGCGACCCACCACTCACAACAATACTCAACGGGCCACCTGAGTGAGCCGATACTGTCATCTTACCCAAATACGAAAGACTTGCAAAATTTAGTAACTTATCTCCAACAATCTTCACCT